AACCAAAGAGTCATAATCCTCTGCAGTCATGAGGTGAGACAGAACTTTAGTCTGATTATATAACTCCTTTTCCTCCCTACTCCTTTTCTTTTCTACATTCTGAAGTTGCTTAAACTGAACCAAATTCCTATCGAAAATGTATCGTTTCCTTTCCTCTCGAATATCCAACTTGTGATTATAATTTTCCAATAAGGCGAGCTTTAGTTCAACATCTTGTGGCAAATCATCCTCAGAGAACACCAAATCCTTTACCAAATGCTCTGCTTCGTTTTCTGGCTCATAATCAAACTCCATACGCAGAGGCATGAATCCCTGAACTTCGTGATTAGCCGGAACACTTGGCAGTACTTTGGCTTTGAATGGTGGAATAATAGAAAGATTCTTGCTTGGCGACTGCTGCCTTTCCTTTCGAGCTTTTGATATTTTGTCCTCCTCAAGCTTTATGGAAAGATTTGGTAACGGAAACGATGGAGATTCCACGTAGAATTTTAAGTAATGTTCTTTGCATTCTTCAAGCGTTTTAGTTCCGACATGCCCAGCAACATCAGCCCAATTTCCCATTCCGTATAATCCCAATCCTTCGACCAGCAGCCACTCCTCGTCAGCACCCCAATTCTCGTCCATTAGAGGAAAAGCAAATCTGTCCAAGAGCCTGTAAGAGTGATCATTCCTGTGAGTGTCTGACTCCACTCCTTTACTAAAACATTCCACACACAAGTCGAAATCGGGACATTCTGCGCAACGCACTCGAATCGTATCCGTCACATCTCTTCTGCACTTATCGCAGTGATATTTGATTCCTCCGCCATCATCTCCAGTCGACTGTTTTCTCTTCTTGTGAGTTACCGTCATTCGGGAAACTTGAAGAAAATAAGCTGTTTTCTGTCGTCACTGCAATCTGCCCCTTGAAAAAGCTGATCAACAGGAGCACATGGGCAAAAGCGGCAAAAATCCCCAGTTGACGATTTTTCCTGTTTTGAAATGAACTCATTTCTCATTGCTGGTCTGTTGCTTCTTGCTTGCGTTACCTCGCTTCGAGTTAAGTCTAGTCACGCTAATCCTCTATGGAAGCTTCAAACACCTCCTG